ATAATAGACTTTGAATTCGTTGACAAAAATTATTGCTAATTGTATTAACGATTAAAAACAAGCGCTAAAACTATTATGCGTTATAACTGGAAGCGGAAACGTTGCCTCCCTTTCCAGTCCAGTTGGTATGAATCCATTTTCCCGGATTTGTTAACAGTTCGTAAGTATGAGCGCCGAAGTAATCGCGTTGCGCTTGGATTAGATTCGCCGGAAGTGTTGCCGTACGATAACCGTCGAAGAATGCGAGGGCTGTACTGAAACACGGCGTCGGGATTCCCAGGAGGACAGCGTTCGACACGACGCGTCTCCACGAGTCCTGGCTTTTGCTGATCTCTTGGCGAAAAAAGTCGTCGACCAATAGGTTAGTGAGTTTGGGATTTTTGGTGAACGCGGTCTTAATGTTGCCCAGAAATACGGAGCGTATAATACAGCCTCCCCTCCACATCAACGCTATGCCGCCGTAATTGAGGTTCCATTTGAACTGTTGGGCCGCTTCTCGCAAAAGCATGAATCCCTGGGCGTAAGAGATGATCTTCGAGGCGTAAAGAGCGTACTTTATATCGTCGATGAATTGCTTCCGATCGCCAGTGAACTTGATTTGTGGACCTTTCAGTACTTTACTGGCGCTCACTCTCTCCGCCTTCAGCGACGACAGGCATCGAGCGAACACTGATTCGCCAATTAGTGTGACCGGAACGCCATAATCCAGCGCAGAGATGGCCGTCCATTTTCCCGTCCCTTTCTAATAGTGTGTTCAATATTGTTATCTATTTATTCACTCTCTCGTCATATGTCGTGTAATACCTGTCCGGCAGTGTCTGAGATCTTAGAGACCAATGCTTTCCCATCGGTGTCCTTGTATTTCAAGATATCGCGTGTGATTTCAATGAGGAATGAATCCAATTCTGTTTTATTCCATTCGGTGAATATGTCCGCCATCTCGTCGTGATTCAAACCGAGCACATCCTTCAACAGGTGATAGGCCTCGCATATCAATTGCATGTCTCCGTATTCGATGCCGTTGTGAACCATCTTAACGAAATGGCCGGCGCCGTCCTCTCCCACCCAATCACAACACGGCTCGCCGTCTGCTTTCGCCGCAATCTTCTGGAAAATTGGCTTAATATGAGGCCTAAGAAGACAGACATTTAATACATTCAATCAGTTTGATTACTATTCATACAAACCAAGCTTCGGGGTGTCCGCCAGGCATTATAGACGGCCCAAAGCGGGCGCCCTCTTCACCGCCGCTAACACCGGAGCCGACGAACAAAAGTCCCTTCTCTTTCAATTCTTTACAGCGCCGTTGAGTGTCCGTGTATTCAGAGTTTCCGCCATCGATAATGATGTCTCCCTTTTCCAAATGCGGAATCAATTGCTTAATGAAGTCGTCGACAGCAGAGCCGGCCTTCACAAGAAGTATCACTCGACGCGGTTTCTTCAGTTTGTCCACCATTTCTTTGATACTGTGAGCGCCGACCACTCGCTTCCCTTTGGCCTCATTTTGCAAGAATTGATCCACTTTTTCAGTCGTCCGATTGTATGCACACACCTTAACAACCATTCAAATCAGTTTAATATCAGTTTACTTTAAGGCATTGCGTGAACTAAACCACTCATCGATATTATATTTATGTATTTAACAAAATGCTAATTTCCGATAAAATTATAGCCCATTCTATCACTGAAACCAACAAATCATACATTTCTAACAACATTTTCAACATAGAGCTAATTTCATTATCTAATAAATGGACAAAAAGTTTTTCTATTCCTAACTATTAGTTAAGGATTGAGTGCTATTACGGTATAAAGATTTCGTAAGTGTTTGTCTCATAGATTGCATAATACTTTATGAAGTAATATATTTGCAAATGTTGAGTGGTTTGTCTTTACGATCAATTAAAAAGTTAAATTTAAAATATAATATGAATAATACAGTGAATCCATTGTCAGCCATATTAAGGATGAGGTTCTGTCCCATGACAGCCAAACCAATGAGAGCTATGTCTGCTTCAGGCCTTCAAAAATACATTCAAACATATATTTAACTATAAAATGTTTTGTCGAAAAAAAGTTATTATTTCCTAACAAAATGTTAACTCAATTATGAAATTAGTCAACGCTTTGAGGAAATTGTTTCAAAGATTTTTTTCGTTTTAATGCATTTTCTCTCTAACTTTTCAAATGTATTGAAAATAATAAATTGCATTTCAATATAATGTTAATAGCAATACATACTGTATATTAAAATAATGAATGTCATTATTCATACAATTATGTAATCACAAAATGATGCTAAATTAGGCATACAGTATAGTAAATGGCCCAATAATGACCCGGGGCTATATTCTTCTATTCAATTCTACCTTATTATGTGCTGTATATAAATAGTGTACTAAATATTCAGTTCAAATCATAATTATTGTTATTTCATATATAAGTTAACCTAATATTCAAAATCATGATAAAAGTCTACTTTATATCAATTTGAATGACATTTAAACCGCATTTTATCGTCAAATCATTTCATACTTTGTATCCATTTTTTGCGAACATATTATTGAGTTTTAAAAATTATTTTCAATAAAATTTATATTTTGAAATAAAAATATGCATTTTTGCCATAATTAGCATTAATTAGCATTTAATAAGCATTTTTCCTATTAATCTGTAATTGAAAACTAAATTATATGAAAATCTGTTTTTACAGTTATATTTGCGACACATTTGCAAACAAATTGTAATAATTTGTGTATTAATTGATTAAATCGTGAATTAATAGTTAGAAGTAATGATTGCAATAGTATTTCAATGAATAGGACTTACATTGTCTTCAATGAAGTAATTGTTTTCCAAACCAATCAAAAGGTGAGCGAAGAGTGAGTCGAGGACTGAATGAATGGTGAAGTGAAACAACTCTTCACTCAATCCATGCAAACCTATGACGCAATCCATTACCACATCTCTCACCACAACTTCACTGCAATCGCAGCCAATCGTAGCCTCACTTCAACTCTAAAGGGGCGGCACTTATATGGCGTGTACTTTAAAACACACTTAAAACTTATCATTGCTTTCAATCCGTCGCCCGGTTTGTGAACCCCTTTATAGTGAACATCGAAAGCATATAATAAGTGTTTTGATGATTACATATTCATATACTCTACATATTATTTGTTGAGTTGAAGCGACAATACATTTGGCATATATTTGGATGCAATGCTCATAACAATCATAATTTACAAGCATTACAGTTATAGTAACAGCAAATTGTTAACTTTTGCACTAATATTGTACTTTATATAACTTTGTACTCTTGAAGGTTACGTAAGCCTATAGTATACGAAACATTTTATTTTAAATACAATTGAATCCATAATTTCAAATCATTTCAAACAAATGTATTGGATTTTATTCATTTACAAAATCAATTTTAATAAACCAAGAAAGCATACAATTTATAACCAATACAGTATCATGTTCATTATGAAGAAATTACAGAATAATTACTCAAACCAATGCAATTGTAATACAAATGTTGTCGAATCTGTAGAACCAAATCAACTTTCGAGGAATCAATTAATTCAAAACGTTTTTATTAATCATCGAAACAATCGAAACTCAGTCATAAAATGCATTTATTTGTATTGAATTCCTCTTCGGATCAGTTATGTTAAGAAAGTTAAAGATTTCGAATGCATTTTGTTTGAAATTTTATGAGAAATGCAAAATATTTAATAAATTTGTTTAATGAATGTATTGTCAGTATTTCTAAATAATAAATCTATTGTCAATTGTCTTCACTCTAAATAATCTTAAAACAGATATTATCTTAATTTACAATTTATTGATCGGTTTTGAATTCAACCATTTTTTAAACATAAATAGTATTAGCATTTAAAGCACTTTAATTGTAATAAATTCATTACATTTTACATTACAACTGTCTATCAATACATTCGGTCGCGATCTCTATCGTTGGTAGGATTGGGCGAAATCCTGTTCCACATGCGTTCCCCCGTCTGTTGAAAGTGGTTTTGTTCGTCGTTGTGTTCCTGATCATTGGCCGGCGTGTCGTTATTCCAACCCCTTTTCCTGCCCCTGAAATCCTTGTCCGCATTGCCTGAATGTCTGAAAGGCATTTCGTTCTCTTCCCGACGCCAGCGATCCATCGGTTCGTCGCGTCGTTTGTCATCGAAGTCTCGTCTATCGGCCCTTTCATTGAAGCGAACGTCTGGGCGGTGACCGAAAGAGCGGTCGTCGAATTGTCTGTTGCCTTCATATTGTTGTTCATCGTATGGTCTGTCGTGAGAATGTCTTAAGTCTTCGTCAAAATGGTTCATTAGTGCGAACCTCTCATCGGTGTCTCGATTTAGCGCCGGTCGCGGAGATAGAGATCTGTCGATAGAATTGTTTTGTCTATGATTTTGGTTATGAATGTTATGGTAATTGTCATGACGTATGTTATGATCGGATATTTGGTGAGCACTCGGAGGTATCATTGGGGGCATCGGTGGCGGAGGCATTCGAGAGCCCATAGGCATAAAGTTAGGAATGTTCTGAGCGCTCGAGTGCGACCCCTGTAATGCCATTCCTGGGGGCGGAATAAACGGCCGCGAATTGGGTCCAGACGGGGGCGGAAAACGCGGCGGCATTTGGTTTGTAAAGTTTCGGACCATATTATGCGGTCCGCCCATCATATTGGGAGGCGTTTGGGACTCAGGATTGGATAACTCTTTCGGTTGATTAGTATTATTGTTATGGTTAGCAGTGTTTAGACCAGACTTTGAATCTCCGTTCCATTGCTGTTGAAATTGTTTGGGAATGGGTTTAGCGTACGGAACCTTCCGGTGCTGTTCCTTATTCTCGTCACTCAATCCCAGACCCGGAATCGCAGAACCGTTGGGCGCCTCGTCTTCCTCTTCGTATTCATTATCTCCAAAACCCATACCAGGAATGGACGGCGCGGTCACGACGTCGTCATATTCTGCTTCTTCCGAGCCTTTCGGCAAAAGATTCAGATTATATTTATCCCGCATTCGATCTCCGGGACGGTTTCGCGACCAGAATTTGCTTCAATTAGACATTCAAATCAATTATGCATTTGTCGTATATTTATTTATTAAATATATTGTATAATACCACGTGTGATCATTAGATCCTGAGGTCAGTATGTGTCCTAATGGGTGCCAATTTAGAGACCAGACAATCGAGTCGTGCGCGCTATCCATACCTCCGACTTCTTTTTCGGTTCTGTTATACAATGTTTTATTAAACAGTTGTAAAGAGACAAACAATGGCTAATGTCTTACCCGACTAACCAAAACAGAATCGATCCGTCAGATCCTCCGCTGGCAAATAGACTTTCGTGAATTGGATGCCACGACAGACCTGTTTGTAACAAACATTATCATCACATTCTCAAATCAAAGTATCATTCAATGACTTACAACTCGCTTCCTTTTTATGGCCTCTAAATGTCTGCATTTCTGTCGACATATTTCTGATGTCAAATATTTTGATCAAATGGTCTCTCGAAGAAGTCAAGAGCCAATTGCCGTTTTGGTTCCATTTGATGTCCGTAACCGTGTTTTTGTGAGCGTGACTGCAATTTAAACATTTCGTTAATAACTGTTAACATCATATGAAGAGGTTATAGACATACAGAGTGGCCAGACTTTGACCAGATTTCGGGTCCCAGAGTTTGACGGGTTGTTGACTATCTTTACTGCCGGAAGCGATCAATGACTTGTATGGATGCCAATCAACGCCTTTAACATCGGCGCCGTGTCCTCGAAGTATTCGTTCCTCTTGACAGCGCATAAAGTCCCAGATCCTAATCGTGCCGTCGTCTGAACACGTGGCCAGTTTCGAGTCCGTCGGACAGAAACTATTCAACGCATCCATTCGGGCAAAGGTTGCAATTAGTTAATTGTTATTCATTCATATTTCACCACAACTTTGTTGACTTTATATTCATATTTGATTTCAGTATAACTTTTAATATAGTAAATATTTGTTCGTTTATTAATTGTACTATTTCTAATTATATTCATATACCGAATACAACTAATAAAATTTCATTTATTTCAATGGATTCTTTAATAAAGTCGTTTATTGTTAGAAAAATTGTATTAATTTTTAAATATCTATCAATAATTTATTTTATATAATAAGTAAAATAAATAAAGTTAAATAGTATTTAATTCAACAAACCGTCATATTATAGGAATACATGTATTTTCCAATAGTAAATCAAATTCTACTATAAGTTAAAGGTATTCTTTAAATGAAGAAATTTGATTCGCAGTCAATTCTCTCTCATATTATCATATGATTAGAAACATTACATAAGCTTTCAGTGATTTATTAATAAGAATACGTTAACATCTCTTACAATTTGTTACTAAATCATACGTTTGTCATCAGATTTACAACTAATTTAATCGTAATCTCAATTAATAATTAATTACCGAATAAAATACTGATATAACCGATTGATAACTCAATAAAACTAACTTATAGTGGACTTAATGTGATCATAATTAAGTGCTTTATAATTAATAATTTTGCGTTTTAACCAATAATTATTAAATTGTATGAAATAATATAATTTAAAATCTATAAAAACGTGTTGAAAATTTAAAAAAGTTGTGATAAAACCAGAGTTAAAAGTAAAAAAGATGTCGATTTGAACCGTTTTTACATTTATTATAGAAAACCATAATATTTAAATACCGTTGGAATTATTGTTTATTTATTTATTTAACATTTAATTAGTTTACTATTTATTAACGAATTGTTTTTATTCAAGAAATAAAGTTAAGAAAATATCTGAAAGAATGTAAAAAGTGT